TCGTGTAAATTTACCACTCGGCCTCGAGAATAATAGGACCGATGATGATTCAAAAGAACGGGGATGAGCCGATGATCATAAAATCGTGCTGAATTTCATATATCAACGAGGAAGATCACAATCAAATACTAAAACTATCATGTCATCGCCGAAATCTCTATACAATAATAGATGACAAAAACGTGCATGATTAAGGCTCGGATAAATTCAAAATAATAATAATAATAATATTATTATTATTATTTTAAATAATCATTGGAGTGAAGATTAACCTTGAAAATGGCAAGCACCAGGAATTGCTAAAAATAGTAACCGATAAAGAAAATTTCGATGGCATTGTATTATGGTAATATTGGTGTGACCGCAAGGCAGGAAATAACTGGATGGCAGACGAATTATGTTATGGATCATGAATTACACGCGCGCATATAGAATAATGTGCGAATCATCATACACCTAACACATATACGAGGTTACCTCTTCGCCAAAGATACTGGTGTTAATGATTTTGGCAGAGGGTGTGATTGGTTGAACATGGAATTCGCATTGCTATTTGTCAAAGAAATTATTTTTTTGAGCATGCGCAATAATCTATGCAACTTCCGTTATTTATAAATTACCTACTAATAACCTGTGCGAATAAAAAAAAAAAAAAAATACCTAAAAAGTTATGTAGAAAGTAGCATGGACCAAAATAAGCCATTTTATTTGGGGCTTTTTCTGTGCAAAGATCGTCCTTCGTATTTTGTATGTACGGTACTGTATGTTATGTTGTTATTATGTATGTCATTGTGTAGAATGAATTACAAGGGTCGTTGCGTCATTTAATGCGCTGCGGAGGTGCCGGGATTTTCATTTGACCTTATGTGTTGTGTCATGCGTGTGTCATAATACGTAATTTGATTACGTAGGATAAGATAATGTAAAATACCTCAATGAATAACCAACAGATCTGCTAAGGAATATCACTTCGATTTCTTGCATACCTCTTTTTTTTTTTAGTTCATTGGTTTTCGAGGTTATTCTTGCACCTCGTATAATGGTAGCGCACCATGGTTTTGAGAAGTTTTTTTTTTGGCTCTGCTTCGTATTCGGCGGAATTTGCACTGGTAACAATGTTAAATCGTGTGTGTAAGGCATCTTCGTGAAGAAAGCGTGTGCTTGCCATATGACCGATTTTGTGTATAATATTAACTTAACCTCCAAAACAATCGAATCGTCAAACGGGAAGCAGCAAGAATTAAGGTTGCAAAATTAATGAGAAAGAATTCGCAAATCTGACAGGCATACAGTAGGTTGACAACAATTTTTCGCAATCAAATAAATTTATTTGTTGTGCGTGCGATGCCAAAGGTGTCATGAGGCATTTCCGAACAACACGAGATATTACATATGGTAGTAGATAATTATTTGGTATTAAAATATTTGGATCAAATGACTTCCATGTTCACTGTCATGGCCGATCATTAGGTAATGAATGGGTACTGTTAGGAAATAATGCAAATCCCACTACGTACACTGTACGCATTTTCAACAAGACGATTTCCTTCGTCAAGATTCATATTTTTCATGCACAACTAAATTCCGGTTTGTCGTAATCTTCAGGGTCAAAGGTTCGTGCCCGTCGGATTGCCAAGGTGTCAGAGTGGAGTTTGAAAATCAAACAGGCGGAACGTAAAGAGCTCCACCGATAATTTATTTTGACACAGGTTTTCAAAATTTTCTAATCGAGAAATAGCAAGCAGGATCCACCGATGATTGAAATTCATAATTATTAACCATCAATCTCAAACATTTTCCTTATTATGTAATTTCTGACCTATGGGTTTCGTTTTGCTAATAAATTTGATGCGACTCGAAGTTAACGGGATTTATGCCAAAAAAGTGCAGGTGGTATGGATTTTCCGTGAATTTTAAATTACCAATAGCGATAATAATCGTAGTCAAGGATAAAACGGTCAATCGAGTGAAGCGTAATAATAATAATAATAATAATAATAATAATAATACAGTAATAATAATAATAGTAATAGTAATAATAATAATAATAATAATAATAGTAATAGTGATAGTAATAACGATAATTATAATGATGATAATATAAATAATGATAAAAATAAAAATAGAATAGAATGATAAAAATTCGAATTAGTTAAAATGGTAATATTTTTCGGATAACATAATAAAAATTCGAATTGGCTAAAATGTTGATATTTTTCGGGTAACGTGATAAAAATTCAAATTAGCTAAAATGTTTGTTAATAAAAAAAAAAACGACGAACAATCCAATCGAGCCCACACTTTGGAAACATTGTCAAAGACCTCCAAAATTGCCTAAAAAGGAAGACACCAAGGTTAACCGAATGTTCCAGTCATTCACACCTCACCAAAGGCAACAAGTTCTCGCTTACTTATTGTCGTGCGCACTCTCATAATAACAACAGAGATGCCAGGTTAAATTTAACGTCGTGCGAATTCAAGCACACAAAGGCATGCTTGATATTATTTCATTCTGTACGTTACGTCCCCATTACAGCAATTTATCATTGCGTTTCATAATTTCGTGTCCACCATGAACAAACAAAAAATATTGACGGTGGTGGGTCAGTATATTTTGATTTGACGTCAACCTGGGAATTACTCCGAATGTTAGGTGTTACATTTTCAATTATTAGATTATTAGAGTACTTCTTTCTTAAATGTCCGAGTATTATGACTGAATCTGATTGGTCATCGCCCACCCTGTTCAGTATGTATGGATTCTACTTCAACATATAAATTAAAAAGTTCGCGCCAATCGTTTCTTTGTGTCACCAAGTTATTTTCACACCATACAGTAATTTTAATTTATTTGTAATATATTGGACGATTTAAAAAAAAAAAAAAAAAAATCTTTTTCTATACGGCATGTAAATACATCGCATTGACAACATAAAAAAAATTTTTTAACTGTCGATAAAAACCTGTTTGTATCATCTACGTATATGATCATATTGGTTTTAATAAAATTAGAATAATTAAACACAGTGTATTAGCGCATTATGTATACCAAGCTTTTTTATTATAAAAAGGCGTTCACATCCACCAAAAAATGAGAACCAAAAATATTTTTTTCTCGTCCAATCTCAAAAAGGGGTTTGCTAAATCACACATTAGGAAACTACTACTTACATATCTGACAAAATGTCTTTCCTACGGAAGAGTCAAGTCATAAAACCAGAGCCAACATCACAGCAAACCCACCACACAACGACAAAGTCTTCTTTTACACTGAAGAAAAAATTTCACATCCCATTCTTCAACAACACAGCGAAGACAGCTCCAGCAAAAGAATCCACTCTCCAGAGCGCTCACGTTACTCCTTCGACAAACATCACATCACCCACCACCACCACGACGTCACAACCAAAAAAGAGTCTCAGCATAAGTAAGGATACTATTGTTCACCGTACCGATAGTGGTTGTAGACGAAACACAATTTGGTCCGACACCGTTGACATTGATCTCGTCTCAAATTTGTCGTCCAAGGAGCTTAACCGCCAAGAAGTTCTTTTTGAAATCATCAAGACAGAGCAAGAGTACGTAGTCTTTTAATTTAATCTAATTTTTTTTTTTTTTTCCTCCTTTTTCCTGTTTTTTTTTCTTGTTTCCCTTCTATGTTTTCCTTTTTTTTTTTCCTACTATCCATCTTTCTTGTTTTCCTTTTTTCCTTCTATTTTCCTTCGACTTAACTTTTTCCATCCCTTTTTTTCTACCTTATCTCTTTTGACTTTCCTTTCTCTTCTCTCGTTATACTTTCCTATTTCTATACTCAATATTTGTTCTGACGACATCACGGCTATCTCCGAAAGTCACATTGTCACACCAATCACGATCATCATTCCACCACTAACCAATTTTCCTTCTTTAATATTATTAGATATGTTCGCGACTTGCGCTTGATCGAAGAATTCTTTATTCACCCAATCAAGAAAGCTGAAGAGAAATCACACAGGACGGTGGTCCCCGAGCACCTCAACAAGGTCTTCAACTCCATTTCATATTTCCTATTCATCCATGAAGTTATCAGCAACTGCTTGAGAGAGCGTCAAGAAGATCAATCACCATTGGTACGAAGCATCTCCGATATCCTCTTGGCCTATGTTTGGGTATTCCGCGCCTATGCTCCTTACCTTATTCACTATGAAGAAGCCCTAAGAGAATTGGAAGAGTGCATCAGAAAGAAGGATAAGTTGGGTCGTATCGTCAAGAAGCAACAAAAATTGGCAACCTTCCGAAACATGCCATTGTCCACCTACCTTCTTAAACCATTCCAACGCCTTCTCAAATATCCTCTCCTCATCTCCAATCTGTTGAAGTGTACCGACAAGGAAGGTTTCGACTATGAGAACACGGTATCCCTAAAGACCAAACTCGACAATGTTCTCAATGATGTCGAGGAACAGAAGCGTGCTCATGATAACATGGAACGTCTTCGTGAATTGGAAAATAGAATTCACGGTCTTGGTCACTTCCGCTTGGCCGTAAACAACCGACAACTTCTCAGGGAAAGTCCCGCCTGTCAGAATTCGTTGTCCTTGAAGAAGCAGCCTTCCTTGCGAAAATCATTGACCGTCATGTCTGACCCATCGCAACACTCAAACAGACGTCATTCAGTACGAAATCTTTACACCCTCGAGTGTAATGATATTGTGCTCTTGGCCGAACGTACGGGAGTGACCAAAGAAGGTCAACCCATGTACAAGCTGGTCTCTCGTCCCCCTCCAGCTCCTTTGGATGACGAACCTGTTTTAGTGCAAAAGCCTGATGTTTACGAGTAAATTCGGTTCACTTTGATTTTCTGCACCGCCATTTCTCTTTTTCTTCTTCTTTATTTTGTGCATGAGGAGTTTATACCTGTTTTGTCCAAAACAAATCCAAAAAAAAAAAAAAAAAAAACCTTTATTATTTCATTATATATATATATCAACGCATTTTATTCGCATAGATTATATATCCTTAGATTATAATATCTTAGTTCTTTACCAAATGTAAATTTTAATCACTCCTAAAAAAATCCCTACAAAAAAAAAGAACATCATCAATTATCACAAACAAACACATTCGAAAAAAAGCACAAACACATTCGCATCACAGCACATTTTTTTTTTAACGAATCATACGTAAAATCTGAAGGACATCGATGATTGTTACCGGAAACAATTGTCCACCACTCGCCACCGTACGCTCCGTCGCAACGTGGATTGTTCTTTATTCCACGGAGAAAATCGTCACGATGGCGTGATGTCGTTCGCGAACCCGCACAAATTCTCATTATCTACATTGGCAATTGGCAAAATAGAATACAAACTATCATCATCATCATCATCATCATCATCGGTAGCGGCATTTGCTCAATGCTTGCTTTTCGCTGAAACGAAGTTGAGGGGGATCCAATCACGTTTACTCCCTGGACCCTAATTGGAGAAAGAATCATGTCCACTCTAAATTCTTACGACCATTCCTTCGTTTCTTCATCTATGCGTAAAAGAAGTCTTATTCTTTTTTTACATTCACCATTTCAAAATCTAAGTCAAAACATTCCTCTTACAAATCTAAGCAAAAATCTAAGATGGTTACCTTTTCGTTAAAATTGGCAAAATCTGAATATGACAAATCCTTCAACCTCCACCTATGGCAAA